TCCTTTATCTATTACTTTTTAAAATAGTATTCTTCTAGCCTCTTATATAGAATAGTTTCTCTTTTATTCTAGCTCGTTTTTAGAAAACCCTTTTAACTATTTCTATCTCTTTTCTCTTTTTCCTTAATAAGAAACCCATTATAGTATTAATAGAAATACTATTTATAGTCAAATCTTAGTACTATTTATTAATTTCAGAACCTGAAATATTAGTAATTCTAATATAATTTCCTCTAAGATAAAATAGCTATTTAGATTCCCTAGATATAACTTACTTATTTCTATATATAAATCCCGGTTAGCTAGTTTCCTTTTTCCTTTCTTATCTAGTAAACTAGATATCTTCTATTAATTTCTAGATATTTTTGGGTTAAGTATTTAAGTTATAATTAAATTCTCTTCTTTAAACTTAGAAAACGATTTAATTAAATTACTAGTATTTACTAGTAAGGAAAAAGAAAATACTTTCTTATTTAGGCTTAAATAGCTCTTTATACTATCTTTTATTAAATTAGTAAGTATATCTATAATTTATAAGCTCTTTTATTAGTAGATAATAGAACTAAAAAATATAAATATATTCTGGATTAATATTATTACTCTTATTTCTATTATAGTACCTATAGCAAATTCGTTCTTTTAGTTCTGGGTCTATACTATAGGCTATATTAATTTAAATAGTATTTTCTGGTTATATTTAAAACTAACTTCTTTTAGAATATAGTTATTTAGATCCTTTATCTATTCTAGTTTAATTACTATAACTATTATAGTATTTTTTATAACCTTTATTATAATTTCTAGTATATTTTTTCCAAAAACCCGAATTATATTTACTAGGCTACTAATACTATTATATTTATTATAGTTAGCTAGGCTATATAAGTAGGCTATAGATATCTTTCCGAATTATAATAATAGTTATATTAAGTTATTTCTATAGGTTCTCTTAAATTATAGTAATAATAAATAGTTTTTCTAGACTTCTTACTAGCTAGTTAATATTATTTCCTTTAGGTTTACTATTTTTAATAAGTTTTATATAATTAGCTATAGACTAGATTCTTTTTTTACTTATATCTATAATAGCTTTAAAAAGTATAATAGAAGGAACTAGTAAAGAATAATTATTTTCTGGTTTAGGAACTATATTATAGACTACTATATCTAAATATTCTTATCTAAATCTGGATATATCTGAGTTATTAGTAATATTAAAATAGTATTTCTTTTCTTTATACTAATAGGATATTATTACCTTTTTATATATCTTATTATATTTATAAATAGAAATATCTATAAGTTCAAAATTCGTATTTTTAAGAATATAATTCTTTACTAGAATAGATAATTCCCTTATAAATTCTCGATATTAAATAATTTTATCTATTTCTTTTCTTTTTATTAACTTCTTTAATATTTTATTAAATATATTAATATAAGACTTAAATAAAATTCTTCTATTCTAGGCTTATATAATAATCTAATTAAGAAAGTTATAGCTAATTTTAAATATTTCTCAATTATACTTTCGGAATTCCTTTAGTAAGGCTTTAAAGAACTTAGTCTCTTAGTAATCTCCTGAATTATTAGTATAATACTCCGGTATAGCCTTAATCTAATCTTTATAAATAGGAGAGATATAATAGATAATTTTCTCTCTTTTAGTATTATTAGAAATATAATAGTTCTTATATATATCTATATACTATTCCAAAAATATAAAAATATTACTTCCCTAAAACTATAGTATTTTAGAAGCTCTTATAAATAGTAGGTTTAAACCCGGTACTAGTATATACTTATTCTTAGTTATATTAATTTTAATAATTTCTTTTATAATTAATTATAGAGTTTCTATACCTGAGACTTTTACTAATAAGGTTTCTAAAAAACTGATTTTCTATTTAAGTATATCTTTTGGTTTAGGAACCGGAATTAGAAAGAAACCGGTTAATAATAATAAATATAATCAAAGTTCGAGTTTTAATATTAGTAATAATAAGGTAATAGCTTTTCTAGTTTTATTTCTATTATTTATATTTTCTTTCCTATTCTTTTAGCTTAATACCTATAGTATTTTCTCTTAATTTTACTAAACTAGATATACCTATTAATACTATTAAAGGTAATAATAAAAATAATAAATACGATTTTACTAATTTTTCCGACTTTTCTGAATTCTCTTTTCTTTTTCTATTTAATATCTATTTCTTTTTTTAGAAGCTTTTCTAGTTTATTTATATAATTTCTTATTTCTAATTTCTTTTTAATTCTTATTTCCGATTCTAGTTTATTATTCTATTTAAATTTGAAGGTATTTCCTCTTTTAGGTATCTTTTTCGGATTTAGGAATAAGCTTTACTATTAAGATTAAAGCTATTTTAATTCCGGCTTTTACTATAACTAAAAATAATATATAAATTAATAATATAACTTTATTTCTAAATACTAAAATCTAATTCTAACTAAAGTCTAACTTATACTATTTTAGTATAATATTTCTTATTCTATTTCCTTTACTTCTTTTCTTTCTATAATTAGCCTCTATTTCTATTATTCCTATATACTATACTAGTAACTATATCTTATAACTAATCTATATCTAAATTACTAGATATATTAGAAATTAATATAAAATACTAAGATTAATACTTATATATACTTAATATTTTGGCCTTAGGCTTAAGGTATTATAATAGCCCTTTTCTCTCCTAATTTGCTAAACTAATAATTCGCCTTATAAATACTCCTTAGAACTTTATAAAAATATTATCTTAACTATAAAGTTTCTATTCTCCCTATATTACTTACTATAAAATATATAAAAGGGAAACTATAATAAGATAAAAACCTATATAAAATATATTAGAATATAAAATATAACTTAATAATAAAATAATAAATCAAAAGTATAAATAGTAAAATATAAATAGTATATAGTATATAAAAGCTCAATTAATTAAATACTTATAAAGAATTATTATCTAAGTCTATAGAAAAACTAGCTTTCTTATATAATTTCTATAAGTTATATATAAAAGGCTATGGCCTTTACTATATAATCTAAACCTTAAAACCGCTAAAACAATATGATTTTCGACGAGTACGGCCTGCTATACTATACTAGATAATACTTAAAAAAGAAAGCTAGTAAAATATTAATCTACTTTACTTTCCGGAATTTTAAAATAACTAGCTTAATAAAGGCCTTATTAAATATTTTATTATTAAAGTCGAAAAATCGGTAGTTTATATTAAAAATACTTCTTTTTTGCCCTATTAATCTTCTTTTTAAAAGAATTATATATAATATATTACGGTTTTTTAGTATTAAAACAAGTAGTATAAATCGGGATATTTAGCTTAAAGAATATTCAGAATAGATTATATATAATTTTACTATATTTAAGAAGCAGAAGAAAATATATAGCTATAAGAATATAGATCTTCTTTATATAGTTAATTAATAAGTTAAGATACTTTATAGATATTATATTAATATATATAGTATTTTAATATAATTCAAGTTCTAGAAAATAATAGTATAGAAGATATTACTTAACCTATATTAGGCTTAATAAGGAGTTAATTCCTATAAGAAAAGACTTATTATTAGCTTTTCTTTTATTAAATTTATACTATAAATATCCTTTAGAACCTCTTTTAAGATATTTCGAAGCTCTTTTAATTTAATATTAATATAAAAGGTCGAGTTTTTAGTATTTCTATCTAAGAGCTTATTAATATAGAATATATTTAAAGATAAGTACTATTTATTATTTTATATATATATAATAAATATATATTTATCTAGTATATTTACTTTTATTACTAAAGGTTTCTAAATCTTATATTTAGATTCTTTCTTATCTTACTTAATTAGATTATTAATAAAGTTTGATTTATATATTATTATAGATATATATTTCATTTACTGTTTTGAAATCTAGCTTGGAAACTAGAGCTATTTCAAGCTATTCTCGAAGATTAGTTTTTGTACTTTTAGCTATCCTGGCTAAGTCTAGTAATTTTAGTAGAAGCCTCTATTAAATATTAAGAGACTTGAGAATATCCAAGAACTATTAGATATATTCAATAGTTATAATCTATATTAATAGCTGGTTTATTAGAAATACAGGACCGGAAGTTAGTAAATAGGGCTCGGTTAAGGTTACTTCTAAAAGAGATATATAAAAGCAAATAAACTGAGATCCTCGAGAAGCCTCTGGAGCTATTTATATATCTATAACCGATTTGGCCAACTCCTTAATATTACTCGAGGTAATAAAGTACTTAGAGAGTAATAGGTTCGGGCTACTTGGTAGTATAATTAGTTATATAAAGGCAAAGAAGGTTTGAACTATTTTAGTTAAGACTTTTATTATTAAGGACTTCTTATTCTACCTAAATGAATTATTAGTAAAGTTTTTATTTATATTTTATTAGATATATATTAATTAAGTATTTTAAGGCTTGGTATTTTCGGATATTCTCGGCGGCTTTAACTTTATTTTAATAGGCTTTGAGATAAGTTACTCTATATTAGTAATAGCTTATTCCAGTAATTTCCTATATTTTAGAAGAAATGAGAAAATTTTAGCTAGACTGAATTTTAGTTCCGGTACCTTAATAGTAAACCCTTTTACTAATTACTTAATTCTCTTAGTCTCTTTCTTCTAACTTACTATAGCTATATAGACTTTTCTATTCTCTCCTAATTAAGTATTCTCTAGAAGAGTAATATTGCCTTTTATAGGCTTAAAAACGAGATAGAAGAGGTTAGTTATTATTTTTTTATTAGTAAATCCAAACTTGACCTTTTTATTTATATAGCCAGATTATATAAATATTTTATTAAGACATATAATATAATTAGTAGTTATAATTAAGATCCGGCCTTCTTATAATTCTATATTATTAATAATATTCAAAAGAGCTAATAAAGACACTTTTTTACTAGTAGATTTACTTATTCGAGAGAGAAAGCTAGCTATAATCTAATAAGAGTTCTCGGTTTTAGTATCTCGATTCGAACTAATAGTATTAATATCTTTTAAAAGAATAATATAGTAACTTGGAAGCTTATTAAATAGGCTCTTTAGGCTAGCTTTACTAATAGTAGAAAGCCTAAAGATATAGATATTCAAACTAAAATAACTAATAATAGCCGAGTTTAAACTCGATTTTCTAGTTCTAAAAAATCTATATAGTAAGTAATTCCATTAATAGAGACTATTATAATTAGAATACTATTATTAGAATACTGGATTAAAGAACTCCCTAATATCTTCTAGTAGCTCTCTTTTCCTATTTTTATTAAAAATAATAATTAAGATATATTTTATTTTTAATATTATAGATCTTTTCCAAATATTATCTTATTATAGCTTATAAAAACAGGTTTTATTCTAAATAAGCTTTATATACTCGGTATAATATTTAGAGAATAATTCCTTAAGAATTTATAAAAATCTGTCTAAATAGGAAATAGAGATCTTTTCTTAGCTACTAAAATCTCTAGTTTAATATTAATACCGGAATATAAGCTAATGGCCCTTATATTATATAAAAAAGTATTTATTTTAGGGTATATAATATAAAGTCTTTTTATTTATATTTCTACTATTTAAAGAATTATTTCTCGAATAGTTTAATAAAGAGGCCAAGTTAGTAATAATAAAAAAGAAGTAAATATTCTGGGTAAAGTTCTAAAAAGATATCTATAATAGAAGTATATTATATATATTCTTATAATATTAAAGATAAATAGTTAAAGCTATTTATTATTAGAAAATAAGTTCTTTTATTTAAATAAATAAAGTTTTTACTATAATAAATCTTAAGTAATTCTAATAAATACTTGCAAATATATTTATAACCAAATATAATTAATTCAAAGAAATATAGTAGAGGAATATAGATATTTAAATTAATAGTAAAATACTCTTAAATAGTAATAGATATATAAGTAAAGCCTGGAAATAAAAAATTCAAGATTAAGGCTTAAATATCTGAAAATAGTTAAATTAGTAAGGAAATATTCTTAATATATTCTGCTATTTTCTTATTCTATAAAATAATAATAGAATATTTTTAGACGAATAATAGATTATTTTATATATATAATAAATAAAATATATACTAGATAAGAAGATTTAGAAAAATAATTAGAAAAACTAAATACTAAGAATATAAAGAATAATAATAATAAAAACTTTAGAGAAATTATATCTTTATATATCCGTCTATATTAATATTAGACTTCTAATAAAGGAAGCCGGATTATTCTTAGATATATTTATAGCTTATAGTTATAATATAATATATTAGTACCTGTATAATTAAGATAGCTTTATTAATTCTCTATATAGTAATATAGGGAAAGTAAAATATTAATATAAAGTATTATATATAAGCTTTAATACTTTATAGTATTACCTTAACTAATTAGAAATACTAATAATAGAGAGAGTATTATACAGAAATATTTCATTTTTAGAAACCGCAAAATTAATATATTATAAATTCTTTTTCTAATAGAATTCTTATTTTTAAGGCAGCTAGTAGCCTATAATTGAGGTATAATATATGTCTCTAGATAATTATAATGGCTTTATTAGTTTATTATATGGAAATATAGGAAGAAATTATATATTAAAATAGAATATTAATAAAGTTTTATTAATATCTTTTATAACTTATAAATAGAAATTCTATATTCTAATAATTAACTTCTTTCTATATAGTATTCTTATATAAATAATATAAAGAGAAATATATATTTATAGAATAATATTAGAAAGTATTAATAGAATATCGATTTATTATATAATAATATAAGAGAAATAACCCGTTTATATAGGCTATAGCTATATTTAGAGAAAGAGTTATAGTATTATTAATTTATCTAGTTATCTAATATATATAACCTTCTAATCTGGCTATTAGTATTAAAATATAGATAATTCTAATTAATAAGCCGAGAAAAATAATATATTTATACTTTTCCGGAAATATTAATATAAGCTCGGTAGGTAATTCTTTTAAGAAGTTTCCCTAAGTTCTTCTATATATTTTATTAATATAATTTAATAAAAAAGAAAGCTAATAACTATATATTTCCTTAGAAAATATATTAATTTAAGAAATAAAAAGAATATTAGTAATAAAATTAACTCTTTTCTTATAATCTTCTAATATAATTTGAGAGCTTTTATTATTTTCTATAGGATCCAGATATGAGATATTTATAATTCCTATTATATATATTTTTAATTTATAAATTAAAATTATATAATATATTAAGAATAAAGGTAATTATAGATATATAATTATATTAAGATAAGAGTATTCTTAAAAGTATAATTAAGTAATATTAATTAATTAGGCTTTTATATAATAGAGGTAATTATAGATATATAATTATACTAAAATAGAAATACTCTTAAAAATATAATTAAGTAATATTAATAAATTAGGCTCTTATATAATAGAAGTAATTCAAAAATATAATTATCTTAACTAATTTAATTAATAGAACCTATAATCTCCGGGCCTATTTTTATAACTAATATAATAGTTTATTTACTAGTAAAAACATATTATTATAAGACAGATATTCCGAGATTATAGTAATTTAACTAGATATTATATCTTTAGACTTTTCTTATATTCGAGTTATTAATAATATTATTTAATTAGGCGAGTATAAAGTATAAGGACTTGAAATATAAAAAAGTTTATAAGATTTATAGAAACTTTTATTTTATAGATACTCTTTTATTAAGGCCCTAATTCTCGGGTTATAGAAAATTACTAAGGTCTATTATAATAATAAATATTAAAAGTTAAAATACTTATTAGGGAATATTACTAAAATATAGTATAAGAGTAATAATAGATATATTTAATTTACTATTAAAACAGGGAAATTCTCTAGGTTATTATATAATACTATTTATTTATCTTAATATATATATAGAATTATAAAACAAGATAAAATATCTAATAACTAATTTCTTATTAAATAAAAAGAAATATAATATCTATTTTAATCTCTATATAATAATATATTACAGGTAAGATATTAATAGATTTTAATATTATTAATATAATAGAGAATAATATAAGATTATTCTATTATAAATATTTTAGTTAGTTATTATATTTAAAATTAAAAAAAAAGAAAAAATATTCTATTATATATATAAATGCCTTATATTGAACTTTATTAGTAAAAGACCTAATAATATAGGAACTCTGGCCTTTGCCTTTATAAGTAGTATAAATATAGCTTTTTTTAATACCTTTACTTTTATATTTTTTATATTTTATTATTTTTCTACTAGATAGCTTCTAATTATAAAAGTTAGTAAAGGTTAATAAAGGCAAACTTAGTAATAATTATTAGGAAATAGTATTAGATATATAAAATAGAAAGTCTATTATAAAAAACAAGAGTTATTAAGACTTTATCTAGATATATTATATTATAGTCTAGTAATTAAAAGCATTCTATATCTATTTTACTATATTAGGATTACTATATTAGGGTTACTATATCTTTCTACTAATTAGAAATATTAACTAGTAAACTAATAAAGTAAAGAAATATATAAAGCTTATAATTCTAACTTGATTTTATTCTATTACTATTCTACTTTACTAAAATATTAAATAAGTATATATAGTACTATTAGTATTATACTTACTTTATCTATTTTCTAATAAATTAAGAATTAATTTAATATATTAAAGAATACCGAATTAGTATCTTATAATTATCTAATATCTTATTAATTAATTAGTTTGAGAAATAGCTACTAGTTACTAAATTAGAATAATATTAACTATATTTTATTTAATTCTATAATAGTAATAATAATAATAATAATAATAATAATAATAATAATAATAATTATAATAGAGAAAATAATAATTATAAACCTATAGTTTAACTAGGCTAACTTTAATATCTCTTTTATAAATATAAATAAATAGAGCCATTTATAATATATTTAAATCTTATCTAGTACTTTCAAATATATATATTTTTTGTCTTATTATATATAGGCTACTAACTTTACTAATAAATATTTAATACTATAATATATATTTCTTTTATAATAAGATATTTAGATATATTTATTAATTTATTAGATATAAATATAAATATAGCTCGAATAATCTAAAGGATATATATATATATAGTACCGGGTTATATAACTTAATAGAATAGTTAATAAGGAGCTAGATTAGTTATAGAGCCTTCCGAATTATACTAGAAAACGGGTATATGAAGTTGTAAATAGTAACTTAATAAAGGTATAGAAAAAGATTAAGATAATACAAATTCCTGTTCTATTAGTAAATATATCTTTATAATTCCATTTTCCTATTACTTGTTTTTTAGTAATAGATAACGAGTTAATATCTCCTGAAATAATAAAGGTTATAGTAATAAGTAATACTAACGAGACATTTACTAAGGCAGTTATAATAAGACCCTCGAGTAATACCTAATTAATCTTTTCTTCCGAGATAACTATAGGTATACCGGCGAACAATAGCGAGTGGACATTTACAACCTCAATAATATACAGGAATAATAGCAGGTAGGCATTTGCTAAGACGGTACTAGTAATACCTGCAAATAACAGCAGGTGGGCATTTGCTAAAATAGCACCAGTAATACCTGCAAATAATAGCGGGTAGACATTTACTGGGATAGCGCCAGTAATATCTGCAAATAATGGCGGGTAGGCATTTGCTAAGATGGCACCAGTAATACCTGTAAACGATAGCGGATAGGTATTTGCTAAGACGGTACTAGTAATACCTGCAAATAATAGCAGGTGGGCATTTGCTAAAATAGTACCAGTAATACCTGCAAATAATAGCAGGTAGATATTTACTGGGATAGCGCCAGTAATATCTGCAAATAATAGTGGGTAGGCATTTACTAAGACAGTATTAGTAATACCTGCAAATAACGGCAGGTGGGCATTTACTAAGATAGTGCCAGTAATACCTGCAAATAATAGCGGGTAGACATTTACTAAGATAGTACTAGTAATATCTGCAAATAATAGTAGGTGGGTATTTACTAAAACAGTACTAGTAATACCTGCAAATAATGGGGGGTAGGCGTTTACTAAGACTATAGGGTAATCCCATATATTATTATATAGCTATAAATAGCTATAATTAGTATATTCTT